AGCTAATGATGTTCCTGCTGCAAGAAAGATTTGCGGTCATGCAAGTCATGCAGTAAAATGTCATCGTTGCCCAAAACGTGCTAAATATGATCATGCAACCAAAAGAAATCCTTATGGTGGTTTTGAAAATATGGATGAATGGTTTAAATCAGTAGATATTTCACAATATTTTAGAGCAGCAAAGCAATGGTTATCTTGTAGAAATAATAAAGAACATAATAACCATGTGAAAAGAACGGGAATAAGATGGCCAGAACTATATCGGCTGAAATATTTTGATCCAGTTAAATTTATAGTGATCGATCCAATGCATTGCCTATTCTTAGGTATTGGCAAATGGATAATGAAACAATGTTTGTTAGATCACGATAAATTTAGTAAAGACTAACTTACAATTCTCGAAAAGCGTATGTCTAATGTAAAAGTTCTATCGAAAATCGGTCGAATTCCATCAAAAGTCGCACGTAGATCAGAAGGATTTAATCGATTTACAGCAGATCAGTGGAGGATATTCTACCAAGTATACGCTATTCCATGCATGTGGGATATGCTAAAGCTTGAAGATAAAGAAATAATTTTTAATTTCGTCTGCGCATGTAATTCATTAATAAGCAGAATAGTCAAGCAAAATGATCTAGACGAAGCACATAATAGGCTAATAAAAGTAGCACAGTTAATTGAGAAATATTATGGTCCACATATTATATCGTCAAATATTCACTTGTCTCTTTACATAAAACAATGTTGTCTAGATTATGGTCCTCCATATGCTTATTGGTGCTATTCTTTTGAATGGATGAATGATCTATTAGGAACGTATCTAACAAGTAATCGTTCTATTGAACCTGTACTTATGCGGATCCTTATGAAAAATGCGCAAGTAGAATTTAGAATAAATTCAGTTGATAGAGGTAAGGCTAAGTCGCTATTAGACAAAGTTCTTTCACTTTTAGATAAAAAAGTACGTGGAAGTTTAAAAATGACTAAAAACTTTGAAAGTAAGGATTTGATAGAATATCTAGATATGGCCAATAAAATCAATAATGCTAGAGTAATCACGGGAACAGAAAAATATCCTGGGGAGATGATCGGGATGATTAATGAGAATGTGAATATTCCTGATAATTTATATAAATATTTGACAGAATATTATTCTATACTAAATGATGAACTATATGGTGATCCACATGGTGATCTATATGATGAAGAGCCACTAACACAAGCTATGGAAA